TTATAAAGTGTTGGGCACAAGAGTGACTCATTATTTTTTATATTAAATTGTGTTAGTAAAGTAACCTGAGTATTCAGTAATAATGTGAAAGACATTAATGCAACTCCTAGTGCGACCGTTTGTCGTGTTGGGTGGGTGTTGCAACCCCTGAATGGGTTGCAATGTATATTATGTATATATATTACATGTATATTACCTTTTCATATAATTTTATATTGCTTATATTTGCGATAATAGCTAAATCATAAATATATTGCTTTATATTATTATTTGACTTAGTTTCCTTTAGTTAGGTAGGATGTAACATATTATGTGCTCAGTTCAAGTCTTGATTGTCTAACTACTGTAATTATTGCTCTTTGCTTGTTACTCTGCCGGCTTCTGTTGCTATTGGGCTTAGCATTCTTTTTATTGTTCAAGCAGACTGTTCTGATAGCCAGTTGGTCAAGAAGTTAGTTTATTTGAGGACTTTGTCAGTCACTTGTTTAAGTCTAGTCGAGTCGTGAGACATAGCGAACTACTTAGAGCACTTACACATATGCACACAAACTTACTTGTACATATTTGTAATATCTTATTAAATGTTAATGTACCAGACGGTACTTAAGAATTATAAATGTGATATGTGCTTTCAGCACAATACTACTGTACACGAGAGAAGTGATTAATATTATTTTGATTACTGTGATTAATTTAATTTAATTTGATATACACCTAGACAACTTAATAAATTTATTAAATTTTAATTTCTCTAGTTAGTAGCCTACCAGCTGTAATCCTGAAGCACTATTGAATCATACTGAATTCTAATGGATAATTGGACAAGGATACTGACTAATTGTTACGAAAACCCAGTAACAGGCTGGATGCTAGAAGGGCAGTCCTTTCTAGTATTCACTGGAGATCTCTAAGCTTTTAGAATCGCGTTTTTTGTAACAATTATCCAGAGGGCTGAAGAGGTGTTGATGAGGTGATTTGGTATACAGAGGTTGGAGCAAAATAGGATGACTTGGAGGGTGTATAAATCTGTAGTGAAGGGAAGGCAAGGTAGGGGTCATCCTAGGAGAGGATGGAGGGAGGGGAGTAAAGAAAGTTTTGTGTGTGAGGGGCTTGGACATACAGCAGGAATATGTGAGTATGTTAGAAAGGAGTAAGTGGAGACAAATAGTTTACTGTTGGAATGTGAGGATAGTGAGGCTCAGGTTAGGGGTATGTAGGAGAGAGGATTATTTACAGATAGGGCTGTAAAAGAAGTGAATGCTAGGGTGATGGGGAGAGGTGTGGGATTAAGAGATACAGTATCTAATACAAAGTGACAGTTGCCATAGTTACTTTCTGTCAATGACACTGTACTTTAGGAAGATTCTGAACAAAAGTTGCAAAGGATGGAAGACAAATTTGGGAGGGTATATAAGATGGGAATGTATGAGAGTCACTCTTGTATGGGTGTGAGGCATGGGTTGTGAATGCTGCAACAAGGAGAAGGCTGGAGGCAGTGGAGATGTCATGTCTGAGGGCAATGTGTGGTGTGAATATAATGCAGAGAATCCGTAGTTTGGAGATTAGGAGATGGTGTGGGATTACCAAAACTATTATCCAGAGGACAGAGGAGAGGTTACTGAGATGGTTTGGACATGTAGAGAAGAGGGAACGAAATAGAATGACTTTCGAGAGTGCAAATATGTAGTGGAGGGAAGGCGGGGTAGGGGTCAGCTTAGGAAAGGCTGGAAGGAGGGGGTAAAAGAAGTTTTGTGTACGAGGGGCTTAGACTTCCAGCAAGCATGTGTGAGCATGTTAGATAGGAGCGAATGGAGACAAATGGTTTCTAGGACTTGACGTGCTGTTGGAGTGTAAGCAAAGTAACATTTACTGAAGAGATTCAGGGAAACCGGCAGGCTGGACTTGATTCCTGGAGATAGGAAATACAGTGCCTGCACTCTAAAGGAGGGGTGTTAATATTGCAGTTTTATAACTGTAGTGTAAGCATGCCTCTGGCAAGATAGTGATGGAGTGAGTGATGACGAAAGTTTTTCTTTTTCGGGCCACTCTGCCTTGGTAAGAAACAGCCGGTGTTAAAAAGATAATTTAAGAGGAATTTTAAAGTGAACATAGAAGAGAGCAAGGTGATGAGAGTAACAAAAAATTTAGGTAATTAAAGATTGGATATCAGTTTGGAAAGAGGAAGTATGGATGAAGTGAATATTTTCAGAGATTTAGGAGTGGACTTGTCAAAAGATGTTCTATGAAAGACAAGGTGAACCATAGAACTGACAAGAGGAGAAAGGCAAATGGTGCACTGAGGTACTAATGGAGACAAAAGGGGAACATATCAGAGAATAATAGAACCATCACTCTTATGTGGTTGCAAAGCATGGGTTTTAAATATTGTAGGAGGAGGCAGTGGAAACACCATGTCTGAGGACAATGTGTGGTGTGAACATTATGCAGAAAATTTGTAGTTTAGAGATTTGGAAGAATGATTAGTGCAATTATTATCCATACTTCTAAGGAAGGGTTACTGAGGTGGTTTGGACATCTAGAGAGAATGGAGCAAAATAGGATGACTTGGAGGGTGAATAAATCTATGGTGGAAGGAAAGGTAGGGGTTGTCCTAGGAAAAATTTCAGGGTGTAAAAGAGGTTTTTCATGTGAGAGGGGGCTTGGACTTCCAACAATTATGTAGAAGCAAGTGGTTTTTATGGCTTTAATGTGTTGTTGGAGTGTGAGCAAGGTAACATTTATGAAGGGACTCAGGGAAACCATTAGCCAGATTTGAGTCCTGCAAGGGGAATGTACAGTGCCTGCACTCTGAAGGAGGGGTGGGGATATTGCAGTTTAGAGAAGTATCCAAGCTGTAGAATGGCATGCCTTTGGCAAGATGGTGATGGAGCGAGTGATGGTGACAGTATGTCTTCTTTTTTGGGTCATTCTACTTTAGTGGGAAACAGTTGAAGTGTTAAAAAAATAATAACAATGAATATGAGCAAACAATTTGTGAGGGGAAAAAGTCAGGGATGGTGTAATACAGAGGACGAATCAGTATTGTACTCTACTGTACATCGTATGTATTACCAGCTATAATTTTTCAAATTAACAAACATATTTAAATTTTGTACCAAAACTAACTGTTACAGGATTATCAACAGTGCTCTGACTAGCAGAATTAGTCTTGCTATTTTTTAAAAGAAGTTCCTTTAGGTTTTGTAAGACAAGTGATTGTATAGCTATGTTGGAGTCTAGTGCCAGCTCTGTAGCCAGATATGCCCTAACACTCCACCATTACCATACAATGGCAGTTATGGTGTAATCTTAGGGAATATCTGGCTACAGACCTGCCATTAGATAACACCATCATTATACAATGACAAGTGTTACTAATCCTAATGTCATAATTTCCTGTACATAAATAACAAGACCAACTGCACTGGTCAGAACATTCTTGGTAATTGTGTAACACTAGGCAACCTAACCTAACCTTGCTAAACTTAATGTACATTAAGCCCACCCAAATTATCTTAGTCATTCTTAATTTAGTACATATTATCTATAATATTAATTTTTTTGCTAAATTACTGCAACAATGAATTAATACTGGGCCTGCTTAACAAATGACCACTACTTTAAAAGTCAAGACTGCACAACCTCTGCCTAAAAAGCACTACATACACATGCACACAAATTGTGTACACACATATGTAGTACACACATTCATACACACACACACACACACACACACACTTTACACACACACATGTGCACACACAACACACTACACCACAACACACACACACACACACACACACACACACAACATACATACATACATACACACACACACACACTGTATATTGCTATAAAAAACTGACAAGAATGCAGCAACCAAACTAGTTGCAAATTATTTTCTAGGCATCCATAATATTAATTGTGACATGGTCAGAGTATAAGCTATAAACCTGAAATATTACTTGTGGCTCAAAGGCAACATATTTGGCTCACAACTGAAAGACCCAGATTCAATCCTGGGAAAAGCTGGGATATTAGACATGTTTCTTTACACATGTGTTAACTGACTGTTTTAGGTCACATCCTGGGAAAGAGAACTGAAGGACCCCATTGAAAGTCAAACTGACTTGGGTAATTCTGGATTAATACTCCTCTAGGTTAATAATTCAAATGAAGTCTTCTTTAAGTACTACTTATGAAATGATGAGAGGCAGCAACTGGTGCCACAAACCCTTTATTTAGTCAAGTCTTCCTGCCACTTAGATCTATAGTAATGTTGTCAGTAGTGTCCTGTACAGCACAGTTACTATATAACTGGGCCACAGGCTTTTGAATAAATAAAAGGCTTGTTGGATTGGCTAGGACCCACCATAAGCATTTAAGAACAATAGGACTTTCGGCTCTTAACATTTAATTTGCCCATGGTGTGACATAGTATGAATAGCTGAATATATCAATCATTATCACTAGTATCCTGCTTCCCTCCTATGTTTGGGAAGGCCTATGCCTGGAATGGACAGAAAAGTATTGAAAGGAAATATGGTCAAAGGTATTGACAAATTAAGTTAGAGACTGCCCTCTGTACTTGGTACCCTCACATCATACTAGCATTACCACTAACACAACACAGTGGTTTTAAACCCTTTTCACTTTTATAATCTTTTCCACACAATTTTACCAGGTTCTTCCCCCCTAATAAAGGGTTCCAGCTGCCCATTAATCCCGATTCCCTCTGTTGTTAAGTGCATACATGTATAACCCGTATTTCCAATGTCCTCAAATACCCAAATCTCTCATATACTGCTCCATATACAATTATATGATCCCAAATAAAAATTTTGCAGTGTTTACTACAGATGAGGTAAGTCACACATTTGTCTAAATAAAAAATTATTTTTAACAAGAGTACTATTAATTTAAAGTTATATTTTTAATGTTCCCTAGGCATTAAACTAAAAAGAAATGTTTTTTTAAGCAATACTTCAAAAAGAACTTACCTTTAATTTTCTTCTAGCGTTGAACTTTCTCAAACAGTCTACAGTTTCTTGTCTATGTACAACACTAGCCACACGTTCACGTTGCTGAAAACAGTGCCACTTTTATATTACTTCAACCATACGTAGAAAAAAAATTACAATACAGTGGACCCTCGACCAATGATGGCATCGAAATAACGGTTAAATCCACTAGCGAATACATTTTAACGCTAACATTTTGCCTCGACTAACGCTAAAAAAACTCAACTAACGATATTCGTTCTCGGGTACCAATTAATATCGTTAGCCGAGGGTCCACTGTATAGTAAACAGAATACTAGCAATGTAATGTAAACTAGGACTCTAACACATGAATATAATAAATATGTTTTGCTCTCTGCACGATGTCAAATTTTTAAATTTGGGAAAATGTAATATAAATTTATATTTTATTTTATAATCCTCCTAATTCAAAAGATAATTTGGGAATGAGCATCAAAATTCAGAATATTTCAAGTAAATGTTAAAATTTATTACATGGACTACAGTATAATTTGGATTGTGGAAAATTCCACAAAACTCTGAATTCAAAATTTCTTTCTGAAATTCAGATTTTTCTGAATAAGTGAAAATTGAAAATTTTAATTTCGGGATTGCAGAATATTTCAACATTTTTAATTTTAAACCAACATAATCGTTTTAATACATTTTTCCAAAAGTACACACTGCATTTGAATTGAGTATAGAATGCAACTTTCATATTTCAAAATAAACAGACTTTGCAACTTATGCTAGATAAGTAGTATATCTTCAGCTAACTGATTATCAATGCAATATAAGTATTCCTTTAAAATAAATATATATATATATATTATATATTATATATATATTTTAATATATAATATATATTATATATTTTAAATAATATATATATATATATATATATTTATATATACACACACACATACACACATACACATACAGTGGAACCTCTACTTGCAAGCATGTCCATTCAAGTTTTCCAAATACAAGCATCACGAGTCGATTTTTTGTTTCCCATACACGATAAAATTTCCCACAAGCGACGGGACCTCAAGGCAGGTTTTCCCCTTGACACGTAGGGGCTCTTGCTCTTGTTCTGGGGAAATTTGTATCTAAATTTGTTTGTTGGACTATCTTAATGAAACTTGAGCAAATAACGATGGAAAGATGCTTCTTAACGTACACCAAAATGAAAGAAAATCAAAGCAAATAAGGAGTTCACTTCTCAGAAATTTAGCCGCCCTAAGGGGTAATTTCAAAATGGTATTTTATGTTTGATTCCTCATTTTTTGTCTCATTTGATGAATGAAGATATTACAGAAACAGATTGATTTTGATTGCTTTCACGACGAAAATAACTTGAAAAGAGCTCAACCTAGGAGAAATGGTCTATTGCTTTGGCGTTTCAAGTAAACAAAAGACGTCACGTCCTTCCAATATGCATTTCAGAATGGGTTACATTTTTTATACAATTATTGCAATAAGGATACAAAAACTGATTTTTGTAAAAAATTTCAAATTTATTTTTTGTAATAAAAAAATAATAATAATAATATAAAAATAATAAAATAATAAATAATATTTATATAATAATAGATATATATCAATAAAAAAATAATAAAATAAAATAAATACATACAATTAGACTAAAAAATAAAATTATAATAATAATCTTCAAAGGTCACAGTGCAAGTTTTACCAAACATAGAGGAGTGTTTGGGGCCCTCCAATAAATACTATTTCACTTTAGGTAATATCAGTTCTTATATTAATTTATTTATACCAATATTAATAATTATAGATAATAAGCGTGGATTTAAGATAGGCAAATTTTCATGAAAATTTTGTCGTTCCCAGACAAAACAAGTGGGCACCGCCTCCCGCCCTATGTAATAATGACATTTTTTCATTCTAGAGTATTATCAGTGTTCTTGTTATTTATTTATTTTTATTTGTTATTAGATGAATAAATAGATAAATAAGAAAACTATTGGCACAGAATTACGAACCAGATAATTGCATTCAATTAATTTTTGAAATTGATCTGCAAACGACAAATCATTTCGGAGGTCAGGAACGAAAACTCCAAATCCCACTGTTTGTTTGGTACATATACATATATTTACATTATAGAATATATATATACAAATATATTATCATAAAAAGGTTTATTAAATGACATATTTACATACATATATATAATAATATAAACATAATTAAACAATTAACACAATATTAACAATAATAATTATTAAAATTTAACATATATATACACATTATATGATATACACAAATATATATTCAAAAAGGGATATATAATATAAACCATATAATAAATTTTATTATGAAATTTCATATTATATACCATAGTTTCCATAATAACATTATATTCATTATTTCTTATATATACATTTCATACAATTATATATATACATTTTTTATTGTATATAACATATAAAAATAAAAATATAAACATATATACTTTAATATTCATAATAAAATTCATTTAACAAAATTATATTTAAATAATATATTTATATTACAAATTCTATTACATATTTCATATATAACATATTTACATAATATACAATCCATTATATATATATACTTATATTACATTATATATATACTTATAAAATATATATATATAACATAAATCTTATTATAATACAATATACATATATACACATATAATTATTACTTAAAAATATATACATATAACAAATATAATATATAAATTACATATTAAATATAAAATATATATACATAAACATATATATACTATAACATATTTAAAATATATACTATAAAATATTATACATACATATAAAACATATATATAATACAATATATACTTATATAATATATTTATTACATAATAATATACAATATATACATATATATATACATATAAATACATATATTTTACATATATAATCCCATAATAATAATATATATACAATATATCATATAATACATATATATATACATATATATACATATATTTACAAAATATACATAAAAATATACAAAATATATACATATAATACCAAAATAATATACATATATTACATAATATTCCATATATATATATACATATTATAATATACATAATAATAAAACATATATATATATAATTACATATATATAATATATACATATATATAATATACATATAAAACAAAATATACATATATATATACATTTTATACATATAATATATACATATATATACATATATAACATATATATAAAATATATACATATATAATACATATATACATATATATACATAAAAAATACATATATATACAATATAAATATAACATATTACATTATATAAAATATATTTTTACATATATACATATATATACATATTACATATATATCAAAATTTATATATATAAAAATTACATATATACATATATATACATATATACATATATATACATAATACATATATATACAATATACATATATATACATATATACATATATACAATATATACATATATAATAAATACATTATACATAATATAATATAACATTATATACATATATACATATATATACAATATGCAAAAAAACCACTCTGAAAGAATAGAGAAATCCAAGCGCTTTCGTGACTACTCACATTATCAAGGAACTATGAAGTGAAGCATCCAAGGAAGCTATATAAGGGGTCGGCCACACCTCACTATCAGATCCTACAAGGGTTTAAACACGTGACGCGCGGCGAGCCAACTTGGATGGGTCCTTTGCAAAACTCCCCCCCAAAGCTATTTATTTGTCCAGTGTATTATTAAATTCTACCCAAATTCTATAATTATAAATGGATCTAATTTATATAAACCAAAGGAAATTTTCATATTATTGTCAAAACTGCTTTTTATGAAACAAGATTAAATTTATATTCCTTAATTCAATTATATTCTTTTTTCATAAAAACCAGTTTTGACAATAATATGAATATTTCCTTTGGTTTATTTTAAATTAGATACATTTATAATTAATAGAATTTGGGAAAAATTTTAAATAATACACTGGACAAAAAAATAGCTTGGGGGTGAGTTTTTCAAAGGACCTATCCAAGTTGTGCTTGCCCGCGCGTCACGTGTTTAACCGTTGTGGGGCTGTTTGTGGGTGCGGGCCGAACCCTTTATGCTTCCTTGGAGCTTCACTTTATGTTTGATAATGGGAGTCATTTCCGAAAGCGCTTGGAAATTTTATTCTTTGGTGGGTTGGGGTTTTTGTTGTATATTTTTTATTGTGGTTATGATGTTAAATTTGGATGTTGGTTTGTTGTATAGTGGGGGTTTTGGTGTTTTTGTGGGTATGTATATTTGCTTTGGGGTTTTTTTGTATTTGGGTTATTTGTTTCGTTTTATTTGTTTTGTTTTGTTTATATGTTATAAATTTTTTTTGGTTTTATATGTGTATTTTTGGGGGATATATGTATTTTTTTATGGGGTTTAATTATTTTTTTTGTATTTATGTTATATTTTATAGATATTTTTATTTTTTTTTGTGATTGTGGATTTTATTGTTATTGGAAATTGTATATATATTTTTATGTATATATTTTATATTTTTTTGGGGTTTGTATTATATTGTATGTTTATTTTTTTTATTGGGGGTTTTGTTTAATTGTATATTTATATGTATTATTTATATTTAGATTTTATATAAATATATTTTTTTATATAAAATTTACATATATATAAAATATATATATATTATATATATATATATATATATGAAATTTTATATATAGTTAAAAATTTAGTATATTATATCGAAATATATTAGAAATATATATATATTATATTATATAGTATTTATATATTATTTATATTTAGTATAATAGTATATATAGTATATATATAGTTTTTATATGTTAATATATATGTATTATAGTATATATATACATAGTATATACGTATGTATATCTTATATTAATTATAATATTATACGATATTAATACATATATATATCATATAGTATATATAATATTATATTACATATATAATATATATTATATATTATTATATATATATATAGATATATATATTATACATGCCTTAACGTCGACTTGTATAAATATTACTGTATATTATATGTATATATATTATATATATATCTATTATAAAATAGTATTATATTTATTTACTATACTGTATATATGTATATATACATTATATTATACATTATATTATATTATCATATACATTATATAATATATATATACATATATACATATACATTAATACTATATATAATTACATATATACATATTATATATAATATATATATATACATATATATATAATACTATATATATATACATATACATATATACATATATATATACATATATCATATATATATACCATATACATATATATATACATATATACATATATATATACATATATACATATATATATACATATATACATATATATATACTATATAATATATACATATATAATATACATATATATATATATACATAATATAAATATATACATAATATACATATATACATAATATAATATCATAATATATATAATATACATATATACATATATATATAATATATACAAATATATATATACATATATACAATATATAATATACAATATATACATATATTATATAATACATATACATATATAATATATACATATCATATATATATATATATACATACTATACATATATATATACATATAATACATATATAATACATATATACATATATATATATACATAATATAACATATATATATCAATACATATATACATATATATATACATATATACATATATATACATACATATATACATATACTATACATATATACATATATAATATACATATATACATATATATATAATATATACATATATATATAATATATACTATATATATAATATATACATATATATATACATTATACATATATATATATACATATATAATATATATATACTATATATATACATATATATATATATACAAATATATATATATAAATATATATACATAAATATACATATATATATACATATATATCATATATATACATATATATATATCATATATTAATAATATATACATATATATATAACTATAATACATATATATATATACATAAATATATATACATATATCATTATACAAATACATATATACATATATTCTTTCTTTCTTTCAACACATCGGCCGTATCCCACCGAGGCGGGGTGGCCCAAAAGGAAAAACTAAAGTTTGTCCTTTTAAATTTTGTAATATATACAGGAGAAGGGGTTACTAGCCCCTTGCTCCCGGCATTTTAGTCGCCTCTTACGACAAGCTTGGCTTACGGAGGAAGAATTCTGTTCCACTTCCCCATGGATATATGGATATATATATATATATATAATTATATATTATATATTATATATATATATATATATATATATATATATATATATATATATATTTCTGAATTAAAATATATAATGGCTGATAATGAACATACACAGATCCATGGATGCTTGAGAGCTTCAGCTGCCGTGATGCGCTTGGCAGGATTAACCGTCAACATAGAATTTATTAGGTTTTTAGCTTCAGGTGTTACAGTGTCCCACTCAGGCGATGGATACTGAAGAAAGAGAGTTAGATGACATAAACTTCCACAGCATATAGGCAGAGAGACAATCAAACATCAAGGGTGAGATACTGAAGTAAAATTGAGATAAAGGTCAATATCCATCCTCCTAATACTATCAAAGAACACTGAACAATATATATTGTACTTGCATAACAAGACCTCACACACACATAAATGATGCTACAGTTTAATGCTAGGCAAAATTTACACAGCACTTGGCATGAATGCATTCTCATATTGCATATTTAATGAATTATACAGGCATACAGGAGAGAGAAAAGCTTACAATGACCAAGTTTGATGTCTAAGTAATGGAGAGAGTTGTTAGGATTAGAAAGGCTGTCTTGGGAATAAAGGAAGGTAGAGAACAGGAGATTTCACAGGAGTAAAGAGTTTGGGCAAGAAGAAAGTCCATTTAGCATGTGATAGGGAAGAGTTTATGAAATCAGAAGGGTAGCCAAGATGAGAATGAATTATGAAGAGTGGAAATTTCTGAATCCAAGGGTCACAAATACAAAGGGCACAGAGAGAGAGAGAGAAATAAGAACACTTTTCTTGATAAAGGGAGATTGGTAAGAAAAGTAATAATAATAATTTCTTTCAACAAACCGGCCGTATCCCACCAAGGCAGGGTGGCTCAAAAAGAAAAACGAAAGTTTCTCTTTTTAAATTTAGTAATTTATACAGGAGAATGAGTTACTAGCCCCTTGCTCTCGGCATTTTAGTCATCTCTTACAACACGCATGGCTTACGGAGGAAGAATTCTGTTCCACTTCCCCATGGAGATAACAGGAAATAAACAAGAATAAGAACTTGTAAGAAAATGGAAGAAAACCCAGAGGGGTGTGTGTATATATATACATGTATATGCTTGTACATGTATGTGTAGTGTGACCTAAATGTAAGAAGTAGCAAGACGTACCTGAAATCTTGCATGTTTATGAGACAGAAAAAAGACATCAGCAATTATATCTTTATTTCTACAAGCACATGTACATGTACAAGGTATACAGGCCTGGCTGACAGCAATGACATACAACTATGTAGAAAGCCCCTTGTTATGCAGAGCATTTCAAGCAAATTAGGTAAATTTTTCCCAGGATGCAACCCACACCAGTTGAATAACACCCAAGTACTCATTTTACTGATGGGTGAACAGGTACAGCAGATGTCTAATGGAAACATGTCCTAATGTTTTCCAGCTGTACCGGGGGATCGATCCCCAGATCTCAGTGTGTGAGCTGAGCGCACTAGCGATCGAGCTACGGGACACCCAGTGACTGTACATGCCACTATGCATAGGACTGTAATAAACAGAAAAAGAAAAACCTGTAGCCAAGCAGTGGACATGTACATCAAGGAAAGGAAGCAGAGTTTGATTCCCATTCAGGTTTAAACTTGATGGATGGAGCAAGATTGTTAAGGGCTTTTTGATATGGACAGTGTTAAAATAATTTTTGTGTGGAACTACATGGCCAATTTCTTTAAAACTGTCCTGAATATATCCTTGCTATTGAGTTATGTTAGATGTGAATTTCTACTTCAATCTGAGAAATAATTTTGAAATAAGATATTGCAGAGGTTTTATGTGGTATTTAAGAAAAAGGGGAGGTGTTAAATCATAAAGGTCAGCAAATAATAATAATAATAATAATAATAATAATAATAATAATAATAATAATAATAATAATAATAATCATAATTAATCATAATTAAATTTTGGGGAATCAAATTCAAAATGGGAATTGACACAGTTACTTTTTGCTGATGATACTGTGCTTATGGGAGATTCTAAAGAAAAATTGCAAAGGTTAGTGGATGAGTTTGGGAATGTGTGAAAGTGAACATAGAAAAGAGTAAGGTGATGAGGGTGTCAAATGATTTAGATAAAGAAAAATTGGATATCAAATTGGGGAGGAGGAGTATGGAAGAAGTGAATGTTTTCAGATACTTGGGAGTTGACGTGTCGGCGGATGGATTTATGAAGGATGAGGTTAATCATAGAAGTGATGAGGGAAAAAAAGGCGAGTGGTGCGTTGAGGTATATGTGGAGTCAAAAAACGTTATCTATGGAGGCAAAGAAGGGAATGTATGTAAGTATAGTAGTACCAACACTCTTATATGGGTGTGAAGCTTAGGTGGTAAATGCAGCAGCGAGGAGACGGTTGGAGGCAGTGGAGATGTCCTGTCTAAGGGCAATGAGCGGTGTAAATATTATGCAGAAAATTCGGAGTGTGGAAATTAGGAAAAGGTGTGGAGTTAATAAAAGTATTAGTCAGAGGGCAGAAGAGGGGTTGTTGAGGTGGTTTGGTCATTTAGAGAGAATGGATCAAAGTAGAATGACGTGGAAAGCATATAAATCTATAGGGGAAGGAAGGCGGGGTAGGGGTCGTCCTCAAAAGGGTTGGAGAGAGGGGGGTAAAGGAGGTTTTGTGGGCAAGGGGCTTGGACTTCCAGCAAGCATGCGTGAGCGTGTTAGATAGGAGTGAATGGAGACGAATGGTACTTGGGACCTGACGATCTGTTGGAGTGTGAGCAGGGTAATATTTAGTGAAGGGATTCAGGGAAACCGGTTATTTCATATAGTGGACTTGAGTCCTGGAAATGGGAAGTACAATGCCTGCACTTTAAAGGAGGGGCTTGGGATATTGGCAGTTTGGAGGGATATGTTGTGCATCTTTATGTGTTTATGCTTCTAAACTGTTGTATTCTGAGCACCTCTGCAAAAACAGTGATAATGTGCGAGTGTGGTGAAAGTGTTGAATGATGATGAAAGTATTTTCTTTTTGGGGATTTTCTTTCTTTTTTTGGGTCACCCTGCCTCGGTGGGAGACGGCCGACTTGTAAAAAAAAAAAAAAAAAAAATCATAATATCTATACAGTGGACCCCCGACATTCGATGGCATCGACATTCGATAAATCCAACATTCGATGTATTTTAACGCAAAAATTTCGCCTCGACATTCGATGGAAAACCCGACATTCGATACGATTCGTACGAGACGTGTCCACATGTGGCCTGAACTGCACCGTGTGCCAGTGTTTACAAGCCAGCCAGTGTGCACGCATCTAAGGATATATTTGGTACATTCCATATTATCCATATTATCACTATTTTTGGTGCTTGTTTCTGCAAAATAAGTAACCATGGGCCCCAAGAAAGCTTCTAGTGCCAACCCTTCGAGAAAAAAGGTGCTGATGACTATTGAAATGAAGAAAGAGATAATTGCAAAGTACGAAAGTGGAGTGCGTGTGTCAGAGTACATGATGATTTGGTAAAGAAATTGCCTGCAACTAGTCATGATGTGAGTGAATTTAAGGCCAGCAAAGGTTGGTTTGAAAGATTTAAGACTCGTAGTGGCATACACAGTGTGGTAAGGCATGTGGTGAGGCTGCCAGTTCAAGTCCTAATGGAAGGGGATTCCCCTTCTAAACACTAACACCATCCACACTCTCCCCTCCTCCCATCCCATCAATCATCACCAGATCTTCATTAAAGGTAAGTGTCAATTATTCTATTGTTATTGTAATTATTCTATTGCATTAAACTTAATATTTCATGTGGCAATTTTTTTTTCATAATTTTAGGTGTCTTCCACGGATTAATTTGATTTCCATTATTTCTTATGGGGAAAATTAATTCGACTTTCGATATTTTCGACATTCGATAGCTCTCAGGAACGGATTAATATCGAATGTCGGGGGTCCACTGTATTTACTAAAAGTACAGTGGTACCCTGAGTTTCATACAGCTCCCAACTTGAACAGTTATTTAAGTGTATTATTGTAAGTGCTTTTGTAATTGTATTTTTGGGGGTCTGAAACAAACTAATATAATTTACATTATTCATTATGGGAACAAATTCGTTTGGTAACGGCACTCAAACAGCCTTCTGGAACGAATTATGGCCGAAACTCGGGGTACCACTGTACATGTACATGGTATACAGGCCTAGCTGACATCAGTGACATACTACTATATAGAAAGCCACTTGTTATGCTGAGCATTTCGGGCAAATTAGGCCAGTTTTGTCCCAGAATGCAACCCACACCAGTCGACTAACACCAAGGTACCCATTTTAAAGCGATGGGTGAACAGGGACAGGGACAGCAGGTGTCTTATAGAAACACATCCCTAATGTTTTCCAGCCATACCAGAGGAGATTCGAACCCCGGACCCCAGTGTGTGAGCTGAGTGTGCTAGCAATCGAGCTATGGGACACCTAATGCTAAGATAATGGCATGAAGTTAGATTGCTACATTTATGAATTTGGTTCAGCATGTGACAGGATTGATAGAAAAGACATGCTGCAGGAGTTGCAATTAAATACATGGTAGGTTTTTAAAGACTAAAGAGAGTTTCTATGATTAGAGTGAGGCTCAGGTTATGGTATGTTAGAGGTGGACTATTTACCAACTGTCACACTTACTCTTTGCAGACTACTTTTAGAAAATTTGCAGAAGTTGGTGGAAGAGTTTTGCAGGGTGTGTAAAGGAATGAAGTTGAATAAACATATGAAAATAGGAGTGACATGAGTAAAATATTCTCAAAGAAATTATCGAATGAAGTCAAGAAGTATGACATACTAACCAATGGACTATTATTATTATGATTGCTACATTATTATTATTATTAATTATTATTATTATTATTATTATCATTTTTATTATATTCATGGAAAATGCTTGACATGTGTTAGTCATTCAGCACTAAAAGCAAGTGAAAGAGAGAAATATAGGAAAAAAAAGAAGTGAAAGTGTTCAGGGAAGCACAATGGAGTGAGGATTTCATAGTCAGTAAGCAAATTTAGTTAGTAAAAAAGAAAATGGAAGGGAATCTGCATTTATAATGGATGTTGAAGGCAAAAAAAACGGGGTACTAAATGGATGCTACCGAAGACTGAAATAAAAAAATGTAAAAACTGTCACAAAACCTAAAAAATTCTTGCAATTGATCCCAAACACCATTCGTGAAAAGGTCGTTGGCGAAT